TCCAGCCACAAGAATAGTACAGTTCACCCAAAACTAAGAATGTGGACAATGACAAGAGAGAGGTATGTTAATATCCTTCTCCAGTATTTATCCATTCTGACTTGTTAGTTTCCCACAGCATGCAAGGCATTATGTTTTGTTCTGAACATGTCTGGGTCTTGCATCTCACACTTGCAGAGAAAAAGCTTTAGAAGACAAAACAGCTGTCAATTTGCAAAACAACAGTAATTATTTACCTCAATATGATTTTTAAAGGCTGAGAATGTCAACTGAAACAGAATATAATCTCCACTTTCCAAAGTAGAACTATAACACAGAAATTCTCTTCATGAGCAACATTTATGATAACATTCACAATACAACTACAGAACAAGCAGCAAGATAGTATATATTATTAGCTTTTGCATACTTATGTATAATAGCTAGCAGTGTACTTAGCATATTTTGCTTTTTCTTTTTTGGCCACAGAATATAAAATTTTGTTCTAAATTGATGAAATCTTCTATACCCTGAGGAACAACAACGGACTATTAAATGTCAGGGTTAGCTTTCTGGCTCACGCTGTGTTCAGGAAGCATAGATAGACCACATACAGTTAATACCCTTTGAAGCACACTGTCTCACCAGCAGACTGACTGAACTGCCCTGTATTTGTAAGCAAGCAGTATCTAGTTGTTCTGTGGTGACAGGGATGGCCTGAGAGGGTAAAATGTCAAAGTCGAGAGCCTGAGAATTCCTCTCACACCCTAAATCACACAAGATACATTGGTTACTGCATCAGTTATGAACACAACATAATTAGAGATATACTATTCAAGAATTTTCTGCAAAGTACTTTGGAATCTTTGCTATAAAGAAAACTTACTTGCTATCATGAAATATGATGGCCCTCCCCTCCCCTTCCATATAGAAATACATAAAACTTGATATTTCATTTTAGTATTTACCACTTTTGTTTTGGTGTTAGCAAGGCCTAGTTTCCCCTTTTGACTATTCTCCCTCATGCCTGAATCTTGGAGGGAGCGGAGTCTTCTGAATAAGGCAAAGGGTCACTTGGGACAAACACCTGCTCTGTGAGGTGTGCTGAGTGCCTGCTCTCCTTTGAGCACAGGCTGCACAGCTTTTGTGTGTCTTTAATTTTGTACACACTGCCCTGTAATTATGATGCCTCCAAAACTCTAAATGTTAGTTGTCAAGGGGAAAGGAAGAATTCCAAGTCTCGGTATTCTTGGTAGGGCACTCAAAAATTGCCAATTAATGAAGCAGAAATCACAAGATCCTGTTTGAGTCAGTATCTCATTGCATCATAATGAGCTGTCTGATAAAATTTCTTTCCTCTTTACTAAACACAAGGGTTCAGTATAAGATAACCTTGTACCCCACATCAAAGTAAGAAAGGCACTCAAGTTAACATAATATAGTTATTTTAGAGAAGACACTGTGTGATAGACACTATATGGAATTCTTGGGTGGCTTTTTCTTGCTCACTGCTTCTATGAGACTGAGTTTGTTGAAGTTGTCTGGTACCCCACATGCTTCTTTAATAGGCAGGTGTTCATAACAGACCACGTGTGTCGAGAGCAGGGAGCATACATATTGCTAGGGTTTGCAGTTTTATTGAAGACAAAAGATATGATTTTTACAATGTCCAAAATATTTAGAATAAAGATTTAAAAACTTTAAAGTACAATTTCTCTAATAGCAAAGTAACAGTAAACCCAAGAAACTTTTTGAAAATAATAATACTACTACTAAAGGATAATTCATTTTACTGCTGAATCGTTCCTAACTTAGGGAGTCAGCTGAGATGCCTGTATGGTGATGGGTCCATGCCTAAGTTACACTAGGCCCATGTCAGACACCACCTTGCGATGTGTAAGAAAAAACTGCAAGACTGACAATTTGTAGCAAGTTCTACACCCATACACACACACACACCCAACATGATCTGAGGCTATCTGAACATTAGCTAAATGACAATGTCTACTACACACACATGCTTTCTGAAGACAGTTGCATATAAACTCAAAAGCTTGCTTCAACACTGCATGTTACCTAGCCCTTATTTGAAACTCTAAGTGGCTTTTGGTGATAATCTGTACATCTGTACACATTTAATTCTATGACTGGTTTAATTTGAGTGTGATCCTCAGCACCGGCAAAAACAAAGGGAGAAGAATTAACAAAGCATTTAGCTTAAGCCAGAACTGTGCCACAAGAGTAAGAAATGTCTGGGCCCACAGCTTCTCTAGAAGTAATAGGTATAAAATCCCCTAGGCTTAAAACAATGTCTCATACAGGTTCAAGGAGTACCCAAAAGGTTCACAGTTCAAGCTGGGGATCAGGATGACTCATGAACAAATACAGATCGAGTCTCTAAATCCAAACATCACTCCAGCTGCTCAAATGTGCCTCTGGCTCTGTATGCAAGATCTGCTCTCCAGCATCATCTTACTTTACTAGGAAGAAACCACGGTATATGGACTCCGTGGCTTTAGGAAAAGGAGGGCTGACCCTTAGAAGACACAATAAGGCCGCTAACACCAAAGATGACCAAGATGCTGAGATATAAAAAGGCATAGAACACTATAAAAATTTATCTGATGTTCATACAGCATATCCTATGCTCATGTCCTGATACACTACATCCAATATAAGCCCTATTACTTGGAAAACTAAAACAGATGCTGGGAAAACAGGTAATAGCAAGTGAAGGCAGGATTCAGCAACTGCTGTGTCATTTCTACTCAATCTCAGAGGCGCTAAATATCACGTAATGGTTTTCCTATAGAGACCCATGTAGAACTTGAGGTATTTGATGATTCAAAATGCTTTGTACATAGAAGGCTATGGAATTATGTCCATAATGTTGAATGTCTTATTATCTAAATAATATAAAACATTACAAATAACTTGGCCCCAAGAGAGTAAGATCTAAGTACTGGGGCCAGTAGAAACTTTCTAGTTTCCCAAGTGCCTTACTCGCTCAGCTTAGCAGTCAGCCACCCAACAAGACCATGATACCATAATTAAAGTTTATTATTTTTTTTCTCTTAATGAACTAAGACAAACTCAAGTGCAAGTTCTCACTAGAGTGAGACGGGAATGGTTTGCCTTTCCCCTGTCCCTCTACCTACACTACAGAGTACCAGGTATGAACAGGAGAACATGCAAAACATGATGGTGGTGCTTATTCTTCAATCATTGCTTACATTTTGTACATATACAGGACAAAAGACAGCTTCCACCATTGCGCTGACTTAGTTTTATGTCAATTCGACACAAGCTAGAGTCATCTGAGAAGAGAGAATTGCAATTGAGAAAATGCTTCCATAAGACCAGGCTTTAAACAACCCTATAGGGGATTTTCTTAATTAGTGATTGATGGGAGAGGGTCTAGATCAGCATGAGTGGTGCTACTCCGTGGGCTGGCGGTCCTGGCTGCTATAAGAAAGCCAAATGAGCAAGCCATAGAGAGAAAGTCAGTAAGCAGCACTCCTCCATGGCCTCTGCATCAGCTCCTACCCATAGGTTCCTGCCCTGCTTGAATTATTGCCCTGAATTCTTGCAGTGATGTACTGTTTGCTACCTGGAAGTGTAGGCGAACTCATTCCTCTTCAAGTTGCTTTTATTTATAGTGTTTCATCATAGCAATAGAAACCCTAATGAAGACAACCATTAAAAGGGAATATGAGAGGGGTACCTCTTATTCATATTTCCATGTTTATATATAAGTATTAAATTCATTGGCACAAGACTGTTGTGAGATATATACCCCACCCGCACCTGTTGCACTGAAAACGCCTATTGGAGCATGGGGATGGGTGTGGATTTCCCAGGCTTTATAAGATAGATAATGGGTTCAGTGGGCAACCTTGGGGGCAGGGGGTGGGAGACACACGAGAAAAAAACATGGACCAGTGAATGATGGAAAGTACGGAATGGACTGGTAAGAGACAAGGGAAGCACACTGAGAAATCACAGCTCGTCCAAAGGTTGTGGATGTAGTAAGATATGGAGACGGTACTCGACCCATTCCCACCCCACTTCACCAACCTGAAAAACACAGACAGCCCTTGTTATTGAGATATAGCTATAATGTGGACTTTGGTACTTATCCCTGATGAATTTAGTATCAAAGTGTTTTGTTTGATTTTAAAAGTAAAAATTGAACTAATGCTGAAAACTAGTCTTCTTCCCTGGATTTTGTCAGTAACTCTGATCAGCCACTTGACAAAAACTTTGTAGTTTATCTAGTATAAGCTCAGTAATTTAATTTTTTTTTTAAGAAAAAAGCTTTATAGGACTACATGTCTATGTATATTTCTCCCACTTTTCATGAGTGATTTTAGAAGGAAAAAAGTAGTAATAACTAAAAATGGCATTTCTGGGTTTTTTAAAAAAGAATTTATTTTATAAGGGCTGACTTACTATTTTGGCATATACCAAATATGAGGTAAAAACAATCTATCAAAACTAGTAATAAAAATAATTTTCCAGTACTACAATTACATAAACTCTTAAATTAGTTTAGTTTCTTTTAAATAATTGTTTAAAAAATAGATTACATTGGAAGTATTTTTTTTTTTTCTATATAAATTCTAACACTCCTGGCTTTGGTTCTCTTAAATCAGTAACTGGAGAACAAGCTTGAGAAAGAAGTGGCTTACATTTTCACATATCCATCCATCTACTCATTTTATTCTCAAAATTGCAATTAGATCAAGTCCTTCTGCACATGTATTAGTATTCTTAAGCTGAACTGCAACTTAAAATTTCAATTTTTAAAGAAACTGCTATGTAGCAACTGAACTGAGGTGAGTGAAGGTATGTGAACCAATCCCAAAAACCAAATGAGAAGCCTGAATATTGAAATATAAAGGGCATGGGATCAAACAGAAAAAAAAAATATTAAGACTCACTGTTTAGCAAGAAGGAACTATACAATTATTTTGTACCCAAAGGAATGCCGGCTCATAACAAAATAAATAAAACAAAAGGTTTCTTACAGACTTTTAAGCTATAGATGAAGAATACATAGTTAGCCAGTCAGTTCATGCAACCATGGCATTGAGAAAGAAAGCAATATTGCACTAAAAGGGGAATTTCTTAGGATGAATCTACCCCTCTTACTGACTCAAAGTCACCAGCCATTTCTTGTATGCATTGGCATACCTGGCTTGCTCTACATTCCGACAAGTGGATAATACCTGATCAATAAACCTGTGCTCCATCTCTAGGCCTAGCGAGTCTGGAGCTGGGGTCCGCTTCAGGCGCTTGGTTTCCTGGGAATAGCCTTGTTTGCTAGAGTCGTTCAGTCCATCCACTTCCATTGCCTGAGATAGTTGGGGGCTGGCTGGAATCAGGTGCACATCATTCAAAGCACCCCCAGAGCAGTCTGCGGGTGACAGGTGAGTCAAGCTTTGAGGATACCTGCCATTTAAGTGGTGTTGAAGGTAGAAAACATGCCGCCTGTGATGGAGGATGGGGTGAAAAATAACATCATCACAAAAATCAAGATTTCCAGGCAAAAGAAGTTGCTAATTTAAAAATACACAGTATTAGCTCATACCAGCACTGTCCCCGGGAAGGTGAGTTTGTTCTAATTCTAACATGAATTAATTATATAAAATAAAATACCACCTTCATTTATCTTAGAAGTTAATTCATAAACAAGATACATTGAACAGTCCCTCCAGACTAGAGGCACAGTTCATAGTCTCTATCTAGTCCTTTCTGAAGACATGTTTATTGCATCTGTGTGTGTGTGTGTGTGTGTGTGTGTGTGTGTGGTATGTATGGGTACAGAAGTCATTTCTCTCTTTCCAAATTTGAGGGGTAGAACTCATGCCATCAGGTTAGTTGGCAAGCACTTTTGCTCACTGAGCCATCCCACCAGTCCCTAGTCGTTTTTAAAGTCTGAAGAGCACGTCTGTAGCAGTTGGTCTTATTTACACTTTCTCCTAAACCTCAACTGTAGTCTTCCATATCAGTGTTTGGTTGAGACTCTGAGCAAAGCACATAAAAAATGCCACTCCTGCTTTCAATCTAAGAGCAGCTGTCACCTGGAATTGCTTATTAAAATGAAAACTGTTCTGCATGATCCTTAAACAGTTTCTATGGTGCACACATCTGCTATACAAACTATGACATGACATAGGAGGTCCTAAGTTATTACATCTCATTCATTCAAGTGCTAAGGCCTTGGCATCAATGTTTTAAGTCTCCTCAGCATTGCTACTGTGATAAGGAAGTCAAAATAGCAACAAAGTCACTAACACAATAGACATACTCCTGTCTACTCATGAAGAGAAAACACCACTGTCTATTTATGAAGGTTCTAAAAGAGGAAAGATAATGTCTGCCTTCCTTCTGAGTGTACTTAGTGTGAATTACAACTAACAGGCAAGCCAAGCAGTCCATGAGAAAGACTAGACTGGAGAAACAGAGATTTTATAGTCATTATCCTTGCCTAGCACAGACCAGTCTTTTGTTTATAGACTGAATCCTGTGGCATGAAGTAGAATTCGGACTTATAAAGATGGAGACACTTCCAAACAAATAAAGATCCAAAATAAATGAAGCAAAGTGTAAACTCACCTGGGCTTCATTCCAGAATTAAGTTTATGTATCAAATGCACTCAAAACCCAGGTTAATAAAATTGATGGCCTTTTTGATTGTGGTTATAATTAAGATAATTAATGTGCAGGCCATTAGAATAGAGAAAAGATAAATCTTACCTGATATCCATAGTCTAATCATTAGTCTCAATCCTGACTACATCAAAATGGTTTGGAAGGTTTTACTTTTCTTAAAACACCGCAGCATTCCATCCCTGATATGTTTACTGTCAGGATCTCCAAAGGGTCATCTTTATGTTTTGTTTTGTTTCTATACTATTTTGGAAATAGCACATGTCATTCTGTTGTGTACTTAAGGGTGAATCTAAGCCACAGGCAAAGATGTGTGTGAGAAACCTGATATGAATGCTAACAATGGTAATAAGGATGGACAAAAGTCCTTCCTCAATCAGGAAACCAGATGGAATATTTATGCTCTCAGACAGGGGCCAGATATAACAGGTTCTGTAGTCAAAAACCAGTTAGTCTCAGGACATGGATTTTCTCTTCTCTTACCTATGACACCAAAGGGTTTCATGTCCTGGATAGGAATTAATAAGATCTGTGCAGAATTCCACTTCTTCTTCTAGGAGCTGTGTAAGACTTATCCTTGGTTCCTCTGTTGAAGCTGATGCTTCTTCATCTTTTGGCTCATTTTTCAACGAGTTTTGCTGTAGTACATAAGTGTCCGTCCCAGTCTGGCCAATCAGAGACTTTAACAAAAACTGGCGATAGTGAAATCCACTGTGGTCTGAAACATGCATGGATGCCCAGTGTTTAGTAGACGACAGCTCATCAAGAAGGATCTTGTAGAAAGAAAACAGGAAGTGAGAAGAACATTGCAAAGGCTTTCCTTCTCCATCCCTTGTACACAAAGTCCCACACAATGCTCTCTTAGAAACCGAACGCATGTGCTAGCTCCCTCGTCCCTTATAAAGGGAAAAATCTTTTTTTCTTTCCTCCTTTCTTTCTTTCTTTTTTTCTTTCTTTCTTTCTTTTTTTGAGTACAGAGTTTATCACCTAACCACACTGTGAATGACCAACAAATTCAAAATTAAAGAACTTTTGGGTATTTATTTACAATTAATACTATTGCAGAAGGAAAAATACATAACATAAATTCAGGTGATTTTGATTCATATTATATTCAACAATTACAATTCCACTTGTATGAATATGCACTATACTTTCAGTAAGAGATCCTTCCTGCTTTTCACAATAAATGACATACAGGCAAAGACTGTGCCTATTTGTTCCAACTTCTTAATCCCAAGAGCTAAGCACAAACTATGATGCACAAACACTACGATTTTCCAGGGACTCACAATTGTCACTCTTTGCCTCAAACTGATTGTAATGAATGGATGAGACACAATTAGGTTCTGAATTTCAAAAGGAATGCTGAAGATTTTTAACATCTGTGAAGAAGTATTATTTGGCACTGGTTTGAACAGGTGGCTAATCAATGAAGCGTGCCATCACAAACCTGACATGTTACATTAGGGGTGTTGTTGGGGTTTGTTTAGTTTTGAGACAGAGTCTCATTCTGTAGCTTGGACTTCCTGGATCTCACTATGTAGCCCAGACTGGCCTCAGACTAGCAGTGATCCTCCTGCTTCAGCTTCCTAAGTGCTGGGAGGACAAGTGGGAGTCCCCATGTCTGGCTTCTATAGAGGGTTTTCAGGCAAGCTAAAGAAAAGACCACACACTTGTGAGCAGAGAACAATGCAGATCTAATGACCTCCGCCTGCTTCAGAGACCCTGGCAAATGCTTTTCCTGTACAAAGATCCTCTCCACATGTCTCACATACCTTTTCTTTTTCAGAAGAAAACTTCCCTTTCTGCACCCCCACAGTACTTGCACATTTTCACATAAAGAACTGTTGCATGTGTCTTCATTATCACTAAATGTAAGGATGTTTTATTGTTAATGTGACAAATTTGTTCAGGATATTTATCCTCCCTGAGTTGGTGTTTCTATTATCTTCTTTCTGCTCACTAGCATTAGAGTAGATATGCAAATACTTTATGAATGAATGAGAAATTTAATGAAGGCAGGGCTAAGATTAGTAGCCTGGATGGGCAAAGTATATCATTTAAATGTTTTCAAATCTCCTTTAAATTTTTTTTTCTTAAATATTTTATTTATTTATTTTGAAACAGGGTCTGGTGATATAGTCCAGGCTTGCCTAGAACTCATGATCCTTCTGCATCACACCCTGTGAACTGGATCCTTAACTTCTAATGGGTTCAATCACTGTTACTACATCTATTTACAGAGCTATAGCTGGCAAGTCTCCAAGAAAAACATCTGGTTTCAGAGCCATTTCTACTTGAGCCTGTATCTGAAGCATTTTAAGGTTGCTATTATTAATGACTCAGCCCACTGTCTGTAGGGGCAGTTAGTCATCTACAGAAGTTAGTCTGGCTTCTCCATATGGATTGACAATACTATAGCTATCTAACTTTCCATGTTGTATATAACAACATGGAAAACCTTTGTAGATTATTTCTGACTAGATATTTCCCTATTTAAAAAAAAAAAGCTTTAATTTATTATTTAATAATACATAGGTGAAAGCAAATTAATTATTTTAGAAACAATCTTAAAGGGGCTGGGGAGATGGCTCAGTTGGTGAAGTGCTTGCCACATAAGCAATACAGACCCCTAGCACCCATAGAAACAGCTGGGCACTGGGGCAAACATCTGCAATCCAGTGTTAGGGAGATAGAGATGGGAGGATCTCTGGGGTTTGTTGGTGAGTAAGCTCCAGGTCCAGAGAGACTGTATCTCAAAAAGGCGGGGGCTGGATACAGGTCTCCATGGTAAACGTTCCCAGTGCCCATGATGAAGAAAGCCAGGCATGGCTGCACATGCCTGGATCAGCACCCAGCACTGGGGATCAGAAACAGGGAGATGCTAAGAACTCACTGGCCAGCCAGCTAGACAGAATGGTGAGTTTCTGGTACAGTAACAGATTCTGTAGCCAGGCACTAAGATAAAGAGCAAGAGAAGATGATGCTTGACGGCTTGCTCTGGTGCATACAGGTATGCTTACCTATCCACTCACAAGTATACAACACAGGGGTGGGAGGGGAGAGAGGGAGGGAGGGAGGAGGAGGGACAAAGGGCAACTGAGGTGGTGGAGCAAAGCAACTGAAAGACCCCCACATCAACCTTTGGCCTCTACATTCACAGATGTTTGTGAATGTGTCCAGATTAAGAAAAAAAACAAAAAACCCACTCTATTTTGTATGTAAGGATGCATCTCAAGTCAGAGAAGAAACAAGGAACTTCAGAGCATTTTTTTATTTTAGGTTTTTTCCTTTAAAAAAAAAAATAGAATAAAAGGATACGCAGGCAATGATTTAAAAACAAGGACAACAATTACTTTTAAGTGAATGGCCTAAGTGTCAGGTACTGCACTAGAATGTACCTTAAGTGCCTTTATTCTCTTCTAACTTCCATATAAAAAGGTGAATAAGTAAACATAGCCACAGGGCTATGGAACAGAGGGGTTGATTTGTTCAAAACGAAATGCTGAAAACACACACGCCAACAGTCATACACATTTTTAATAACTTTTCCCCCTGGCTATACAAGTGATTGTCATGGTTAGGTTTTGTCAACATGACACACACTTAACTCATTTACAAAAAATGCATCTTAATTCGGAAAATTCCTCTATAAGACTGGCCTGCAGACAAGAGTGGTACTTGTCTTGATTACTGACCGATGTGGGAGGGCCCATGGCAAGGCAGGCAGTGCCATCTCTGGGCAGGTGGTCCTGTATGGTGCAAGTAAACAGGCTGAGCAAACTACGAAGAGCAAGCCAATCAGCAGTGCTCTTCCATGGCCTCTGCTGCAGTACCTGCCTCCAGGTTTCTGCTGAGTTCCTGCCCTGACTTCACTTCGTGATAGTGTGAACTGAGTTATAAGATGAAATAAACCCAACCCTAACTAACACAGTGGTAAAACTGATCATTATAAAACAGCACTAAGATGGAGGAATAGAAAAGACACATCACGCATTAACCCACTGGGAGATAACTTCTGAACTGATTCTATTCTGCTTAAAACATAAGCACATTAGTAATGGCTAATCTTACTGGCAGCTGGATTTACAATCAACTCTGAAATACACTTCTGGGTATGCCTATGCAGATATTTCCATATTGATTTAACTAGGGCAGACCCATCGTGAATGCCAGCAGAACTACCTTGTGGGTTGAACCCCAGACCTAAGAGGAAAGAGCTGAAAAGCAGCATTCCTCACTCTAGTTCCCGACTGAGGACTAAATGTGGCCAGCTGCCTCAAGCTCCTGCTGCCACCCTTTTTCCTCCATGATGGATTAAGTCCATTCGATTAACAGAATTCTATATTCTCTCTCAATCTCTTCTCTCTCAATCTCTTCTCTCTCTCTCTCTCTCTCTCTCTCTCTCTCTCTCTCTCTCTCTCTCTCTCTAAGAGAATGTAAAGCTGTTTTCCAAAATGATGGCCCTAGATCACATTCCTACCAGACAATGAAGGGCCCCTTCTCCCATCCTCAGTGACTTCCACTATTATCTGCCATTGTTGTTACCGTTCTAGCTGGTATGAAACCATGTTTCACTCACTGTGGTTATGATTTGCATTCCCCTCCTTTGTTAATGATGTCAAATGTCTTTTGTGTCTTTATCAGACATTTGTACATCTCTATTTTTTTTTCAGTGACATGATAATCAACTTAAAAAAATTTTGATAATCAACTTTTTATTGGCTAGTCCCAAAACATTTTGTTCCCTTATACTATTCTACTCCCCCCAGAAATTAATTAAAATTTACAAAAGTATGTGTTTATTTAGGTACATTAATCATCCATTGCTCTATAACTTTTATTCAGACTAAAACATTATGAGCTTATTACTAAAAACAAGCAACCCAAACCATAACAACACTGTATGTACACATGAACACCAGTGGGCATTTACTATGTCCCAGTACTGTCCAACTGCTCAAAAGCATTAAATGTTATTAGTGCTTCATTAAATGCCAATGTACTCACTAAACCTGTAAAGTCTATACTACATTTACTTATGCCAATAACCTACCATAAACATTTTTGTTTAAATAATCCAATAAAGAATGATTGTTAGTAGACTAACATTCTCTAACTTGTGATGGACTATAATGTTAATGAATCCCTCACTTCAGATGGCAAGCCTTTCTAGTTTTCCCAATTACAAACACTTTCCTAAATCAAACCTTCAGTGTTTACTGAGTTCTAGTTAAGAATACTCTGACAACCACTCCATGTGGATTCTCCTGTCCAATGTGGACCATGCACTGGACCAATTCCACAGGACAGCTGTTGAGGAATTACCATCATACTCTACTCATAGGAAATTCGGGTTAGAGAGGCTGGGTAGCTTCCTTGAGGCTACACAGCCAATTTGTAGAACAGCTAGAATACAAACTAGGTTCCTATGATCACTGAGTTGCCCCTTTAATTACCATACCATACCTGCTATCTTTGCCACTGTTTCTTTAGGTAAGATGAAGTCCATGAAACAGAACTGCTATGACTCTGCCTTCTTTAAAATTTAAATGTGATCTCATTGTCTTTTATTAAGACTGCAGCAACTTTTACAGAGCTCAGTGTTACCCTCTCAGCAGTACTGGCCCTCTAGCACTTTACGATACTATTTTCAACTTTCTACCCTTGAAATAATGCTAGCCCATTTGTAAGTATTTTGCTTTTAAGATGTTTTCTTTTATTATTATTATCTTTGTTTTGCAGAACTAGTGCTTGGGCCACTCAGCTCTCTTCTCTAACCTTCTCACTTCTGTTTTGAGATGAGATTCCACTCAGGTGCCCATTCATATCATCTTTGAACTCGTTCTGTAGTCCAGGCTGCATCAAGCATGTGTTCCTCCTGCCAGAGCTTTAGAGTAGCTGTGATTACAAGTGTGCACCATCATTCTCAGACTAACACACACTTCTCAGTTTGTTTACTACATCCTCTCAGAGACAAAGCACAGAGTATGTTCCAGCTGGGTCCAAAGGCTTACAGCACCAGAAAGAGGATTAAAAATGAAGAAAATCAGTAGTTTTCTGAGAACTGAAGAGCAGTGCAGCGGTATCAGTGACAGGAAGCACAGCAAGTCCTAAGGGCAGCCCCAGGGAGGGAGACTCACTGTGAGCTCCGCAGTAGATCCAGGCAGCGGAGTCAAAACTCATCAATAAGCTATACATGTAACATAAGATGCTTTCGAGTAACCAGGAATTTCACCTTGGCCCATGGCCTTTGACATTATGAGGATGTGCCTTGAAAGGGTCCAGGACTAACAGGAAAGTTTCCAGTAACATTTCATCTCACTGGCCTTTCAGTCCCATGTCTCCCCCAAGGCTCGGCCCCCAGCATCGTGCTAGAGAGTAGAGGTGGGAGCTGCAGTACTCGACATCCCTGCCAGTACACATGGCCTGTAGGTGTCTACACTCAGCAGCAGTTTCTAGCAAACTATTTCCAGTGGTCCCAACTGGAGCTCCCCAGACCACTAAGGGTTACACTACTCTCTAACTGTGAATGGGCTTTCTCAACTAGAGCTCTAAATGGTAAAGATAAGACCTTTACTGTAACCCTAGTACCTAGTACAACAGCTAGGAATGACAGTACTAAAGTATTTCTCATGAATAAACCGAACTGAGACAATCATGCACACCAGCTGCTCATTTTACCTAACCTTTTTATTGGTGGAAGGACAGAGAAAGAAACCTGTATGAGAGAAACTCAGTATTCTCAACAAAGTACTCAGGCCATCCTCATACTAACCTCAAGAGAGACAGTGGAGTAGAGTCCTTATTTTAAAAATAAAATCTCAAGGAATTGCTTTCCATGTAGGGGTCAAATATGAATTCAGACTGATGTAACTCTAAGCCTCTGCTCTGCTGACTCCTTTGGGTGCTTGCCTCCTGAAACTCACAGACATATGAACAGAAATGGAAAGGTCTACTCTTCTATAAGTGTTGGCTTAAATTCCCTTGTAAGTGACAACTATATTTACCCTGGAAGACTTCTGGCTAGGACACAGGGAGGAAAGGGTAACAGGGAAGGAAGAGAGGATGTTGCTGGTGAGTCAGTCACAGCTACAGGAAGTTCTCTGTGAATTGAAATCACTACTGGGGCATGCTGACCTTCAACTTCACCTCTTTTAATTGTCCCAACCCTAGGGAGCTTTTAGAAAAGCACTATATATTCTTATGGTATTCTAACACCATAAATAGCAAAGGAAAATGGAGATGGTTTTGTAACAGAAAAGCGAACATGGGGATATCTGGCTATCACTATGATGGGTAAGAACTAAATACTCCAGCTGATGAAACTGTGGCAAAAACTAAAGCCTCAAAATACTCTGAAAACCTCTATTCCCCACTTCTAAAGATAAAGGGAAAAGATAAGTGGTGAGAGCCATACTGAACCCATGTAAAAGATGTCATAGGCCTGCGGGGGCCTCGGGAATCCCAAGATGAGTCACAGGCTCTGCCAAGTTTGCCCCTGCTCTCGCCTTTCCTTTCAGAGAGCGAAGGGCATAAAGACTGTGTTGGTTCAGCTCATTGACTTGTGTCCAGAGATCACCATGAATAATTTCAATTCTAAGTAGTTTAATAATCTTAATGAGTTGTACTGACCCTTCCTATTTGGTTCTGCATGCCTTTAGTCTAGAAATGTATTTCCTTTACCAATGTCCCAAGCATCACCTGTGGGGAATGCAAACCCTTCTGTAATTATGAGGCTTTCTCTGGAAACCACAACTGTCTTGATCCTCTGGGGCTGCTGGCGCATTACTTTCCAGGATAAATTACTACAGAGATTTAAAGGGCGGGTGGGCAGTCTGAGCCATGGAGAAAGAATAACAGCCCTACCTTGAGATCCAGCTTGGCCACATTCTGTAAAACCCAGATTCGATGGGACCAGGCATTATAGTTGCTGGGATATCTTCCTGCTGCCTCACTGCAGACTTCCATCTCTTCCTGTATTATTCGCTGTGTCCTCTCAGCAGGAACTGGTCCTAAGTTTCCTTTGGCCACAGAAGGAGGCAAGGAAGTTTCCTGACATAACTGCTGCAGCACCCAGCGCCTGTTAACACAGATGGCATCAGAGGAGGGAAGAACACAAGTGAGACAGCAAAAACAATCCAATTTCCTTGTTCTTAGTTTCCATGCACAGAGATGCAAAATAACAGTTGTCTATAAGCTCAGGTTTGGGACTGTCAGGGGGCTGCTGCTGCTACGCTCTGGAATACAGTTCAGTTTGGCAACATGAGCCAGAAGGGACATGAAAATGACAAACAGGAAAGAGAAACTTCTCTAAAACTTTAAAAATCTATCAAAAAGAGAAGGTCATCACTCCAAAATGGCAACTTCCAAACTCTGCTTGGCCAGGGAGTACAAAGAGAGCCAGTCTATGTGCTTGTGTGTGATGGGCTAGGTGCAGGGCTGACTATGGATGATGGCAGGCAGGAGCAGACTTATACCTTCAATCATAATTGCATGCCTCACCCACATTTGTTTGCAAACAAAAAGCTTCATCTTGATAGCTTCCACTAAGCAAAATATTGACATTACAGCATAAATTGCAGAAAGAAACAAAAGACATTGGAGCATCAAGGTATAATATGTCCTCAATCACAGATTCTCCTTTTGTCTACGTATAATTTGCATACATTTCAATCAAAAGCAACAGAAAAGATTTCTAACAGTTCATAGCTCTTGTGGACATACTTTCAGACTAAAAAATTTCCAATCCAAAGGTACAGAAAAATGAGTAATACATTCATTTTATTTTTAAACAATGAAGTTTTTATAATAAAACACTTTTGTTTTTAAACTACAGACTGAGATACATATTTATTTAATAGTTTTCTTCTGGCATCAGCACTACCCTTCAGCTAATACCAGCACATAGCTTTCTGGGGCAAACCATGCTAATTTCTGATAAGGAAGAAAATATAACTGACTGTGGTTTGCTACAGCCAACATATAACACTAGAAAAAGACAAGGTTACAGTCACAACTAAGAGCCCAACAATGTTCATGACTAAGAAATGTTATAGGCATAATGAGAAAAAAGTTCCTGAGAGTAACTTCTCAACGACACTATGACAGCAGGCTTCACCACTGCGTCTTAATCAAGTGAGCTGAGTTACATGCAATCTCAGAAAAGCAAGCTTTCCAACAAGAATTTTCAGAGTCCTACTTGTATTCTGGCTGTTTCAGGCTCTCACCCTAAAAATGGTCCTTGAATTATGGTTTTAATAGCTTTCCACTTAGCCCATACACCAATTACCTCAGTTACCTTTAGCTTCCTTTAAAATTTAATTTTAATCATCATAACTACCAGACCACCAAATTCACAAGGAACACAAGCCCATGTATTACAGCTAAGTGTCTAAATGCAATTTCCAAAATTGCTACAGATGGGTTAAAAAACAGTCAACATTATTGAGCAACTACTATGTGCAATGCACTGTAGTAGGGCTTTCATAGGTGATCTTAACTATGAATTCAATGAAGCAAGTATAATTATCACTCACATTTTATAAATGTGAAAACTGAAACTTGGAAGGACTTGCTACTATGGACACTCAGGTAGCAAGTGATTATTCTTAGACTCAACTGTGAGAACTTGACTTTAGAATTCAAATTCTGAACAAACACATAACGGAGTTTCATAAGCTATGATCTTGAATACCGAACAGGGGTACAAAGCTACCAATCAATCACACCTGTGAATCCATGTCTCTGGACTCTTAGGAAACTTAGTTAAGGCCAATTTTCCCAGATGCAGATCCTTAATTGGACTTAAAGTGCCAGAAAGGATGAGTTCTTTCCTGTAACAAAAAGAAAAAAAAAGTGTTAATTTTCAATTCAAACATGTGTTGCTTTTAATAACAATCTCACGGTGAATCACCAAGAATTATTAAAGAAAGAACAAGAAAAAGAGAGGGGGAGGAAACAGTTCAGTCAGGAAAGTGCTTGCTCTATAAGCATGAGAGCTGGAGTTTGACCCCCAGAACCCACATTAAAAAACAGACACCACAGCAGGTGTCTGTAATCTTGGTGCTGGGGAGGGGAGGGCTGGAATTGTGGGGCTTGGGGCTGTGCATCTCAATATGCAAATCCCCAGGTCTTGTCCCAGAGACAATAAACCAGAAAGTGTGAACCACATTATAGTTTAAAAACCATTGCTACACTTTATTATCATCCTGGTTGATGTTTTTTGTTTGTTTGTTTGTTTTTTGTCTACTTGGCAAAAGCTAGCTAGGATTATCTGGGAAGAGCTATCTCAACTGGGGGGGGGGAAGCCACCATAAAATTGGCCCACAGACACATCTGTGGGGCTTTTTCTTGAGTAATGGCTGACAAGCGAGCACCCAGCCTACTGTGGGCTGTGCCACCCTTGGGCTGAGCAGGCCATGGGAAGCAGGCCAGCCAGTAGGCTGGGTTCTTCCATTTCTTCCCCTTCAGTTCCTGCCTCCAGGTTCCTTCCTTGAGCTCTTGCCCTGATTTCCCTCAGTGATGGAGTGTGAGCTGAGACATCTAAGCTGAAATAAACCCTTTCCTCCCTGAGTTTATTTGAGTCATGGTGCTTTAGCTCAGGAATACAAATCCTACTAAGTCAATAGTCAACCATGGTTTGAACATTTTAAATGGAAAATTTCAGAAACAATCCCTACATTTTAAATGACAGGTGGCTCTGGGATTCTGATGAAATCTTGTCTTGTATGACTGGGGATGCGGATCCTTTGTCCAGTGTGTTCATGCTATCTGCAGTCAGCATCAATCACTCAGTGGGTTTGAGGGCACAGGGGCCCTGCATATGTCTTCCCAGGGTAAGAAGAGACTGCTGTTTGTATTTTGCTACTCAAATCACTCTAGCTTCTGCCTCTAAAAGTTCTCCCAGTTGGCCCCTGTGCCCTCAACAGTTCCCACTGATTTTTAATTTTAAGAGTTCTCTCTTTATGTTCCTGCTCTCAGATGCTCCAGGCCCATTTCATATACTCCTGCCTTGGTCTTTGATTCAGTCATTCTCCAGTGAGCCCAGTTCCTTTTGCTAGGGACCCGACAAGTTTCATACAGTTCAATCAAATATCCTAACTTTACAGATGTACTAAGTCAAGTCTGGAGAGGCTCAGGAACATGCTCAGAGCAGCAGAAACATCCCCACTATTTACAGACATCCCAAAAAGCATCTACAATAGAAGTTACTGACATTCTTAAAAATCAGTTATAATATAAAATCCAGTATAATGTGATCTTGTTTAAAACACACAGGATGTTAAATAAATATGATTTAAGTCATCTCTAATAATAAAGAATTATAGTTTTTATAGCTCTATCCTGTGGGAAAATTTAAAATAACTCAGAATACACAACAGACTTCACTTTCACATCTCATTCATTTTCTGCTTTACTTAGAGAGAATTTGTTTTAGTTCAATGAACACCAGTTGATTTAAGTTCATGTACACATTTGGATCATATAACTGAAAAACAAAACAAAACAAAAAACACTTAATAAAAATGGTGCTTGTCTGAATTAATCAGATGTGATTCTTCTTTCAAGCTCTGAGCGTCAGGCATTTTAAGTGGCTCTCACAGTACCACATTTATGGCTAAATGAAGACTGAGGCCTTAAGTCCTTATCCCATACACCTCCCTGCCCACCAGTCTGGCTAAACTATCCATGCCTAGTGGTCCAATTAGTCATAAAAATGCCTGTGATCCCCAAACAAGGGTACCACAGGCATCAAACAGTATGTTGTAACTCAGCAGGACAATCTCTATGTTTCAGGGGGGGAAAATGCTTATAGAAAAGACAGTTATAAGGGGCACAATAGTTATACTGTTACGGAGATATTTTAAAAAAAAATATGTATAAGAAGCAATCACAGGATGCCATGGGCAAATGGTTTATATTTCATTTCCAAATAGTCATGGGTTGTATGTCTTCAGAAGTCTGGGCAAGCTCCACTTTTCCACTGAAGAAAATGACATACCTCACATTCCATGCGGTGGTGAAGTCTGGGTTGAGAAGCAGAAGGGTGCAGGTGACATCTATCAATTCTAAAATAAAGGGAGCCACATTAAGAACACAGTCCTGCCCATCAAAGACTTTCTTCGAAGGTCCTCATCCACTCTCATCACAACCTGTATCCAGGCTGTATTAATTTTAATGACATATTATTCTAAGACATCAGTGGTGTGACTGTTATCCTCAAGATTTTCTTCTATTTGTGATTTGTACAATTATTTTAAAAGTTAACAACTTTACAATATGCCCATAAAGAATGATTCATCTTCCATTCTTTTAGTAGATCTGGCAGTAATCTAATTTGCACTAAGAAATAAGAAATCACTATTCATTTAATTTTCCCAATATCTCAAGCACTAAGTAGGAAATTTTCAGAGGAAAGGAGAGAAAAATCACCCATAATCCAATTTACATTATGCTGCAAAAGAATTCCCTTTCTTCTATATATGTTACATAGTGATAGCAGTGATAAAAGTACAGTGATCACTTCTAAAGACTTACTGTTCTATTTTCTTAGGATGTATATCCTGAAAGAGAATCACCATGGCAAAATAATATAAATGTCAACGTGACTCCGACAGTGTCAAAACAGCTGTCCTCTAAATGGACTGTGACTGTTTTATACTTCCAAGAGTAATGTGACTACTTATGCCCTGATTCTAATCTAATTATATTTTAAAACATCGATGTGATGGGCTAAAAGGTAAAACAACTCTACTATGTTTTATCTGACATGTTTATACCCTCAGTCATATGTTCACTTTTCATTTTTGTTTACTATTTTCAGTTCATTGAGGATATTCTACTCATATTCACTAGAAATTTATTCTTCATAGTCTTAAAAAAAATGTTCATGGATACAAATAAACTCCATAAACCTGCTTTGAAAAGAAGAAATGGATCAAATCTGGATATTTCCTTGTTAGTAAAACTGAAGAGAGTTTTGGAATTGCTACTTTCAATCTAGAGATATATCGCTAAAATAGGTAATGGCACCAGTGGTATTAAATGCCAAGTGGATATAATATAGAAAATGTCGATATTACATGGTACTGCTGGGAGCAGTCCAAGGCTAAGTAAGTGTTTTATTCACATTAGTGTAGTGCATTCGTATAGTCATGACCCAAGCCACTTCTGTTCAACTTTACAGCAGGAAAATAAAACTCAGAGGGCTTTTAAAGGTTATTCTTATTTTATGTGTATAGATGCTTTGTCTATATTATGTTTGTGCACTACTTGTGTGCTTGGTGCCTGCAGAGGCCAGGAGAGGTCACTTGATGCCCTGGAACTGGACTTACAGACACCTGTAAGCCACCATGTAGGTGCAGGGAGCCCTGAGGAAGAGCAGCAGCCTGTGCTCTTATCCACTGAGGCATCTCTTCAGCCCTGAGATTTAGAGATTTAACCACCTGGTATATGACAAGACTAATACCTGACACTTTGGTCATATCAGTTATACTGCAGCTGAAATGCCTGGCCTATAGAGATAAATGAGGCATTTGAAGTGCTTAGTACAAGGTAAACTGCAAACATAAGAGCAAACACGTATCTCTTCTATACTTTTAAAACGTGGTCCAGTTAACTATAGATTATTCTATTACCACATAATCTTAATAAAAGATTAGCATTTGTTCGGTACTTATTATTCTACTGCTACTAATCACTTTGAACATTCAGAAACTGAGAATCATGAACTACACACACTGACTTGTGACCCACATTTTCCCACTGTAGGTTCCGATGTACACGCTTGCTGTGCACATAAAGAACAATCTAATTCATATCACTTTTCTTTCATTTTTTTTAATAGCTTTTGGCACTGATTTAATGTTTGCCAAGGAAACTAATATAATGTTCTAAACCACTATTCACTTACTCCCAGAACTGTTCTAAGTATCAACAATGAACAAAGATTAAACAAATCCTGGACTCAAAGAACAGGTATAATTCTAATAAGACCCGATCTTACCCTTCATAAGACTATCTTCTTGCTGGAGAGGGCAAACAAAGGACATATACCACCCGGGGCCTTCCAAAGAAGCAATGACTAATCCCCACTAGTGTACTCATGGGGCCTATGAGTACAGAGATAAAGGCACTGCAGATGTCAAAGAGAGTGTGGGAAAGCCAAAGTAGTGTGATGTCACGGACAGTGTGCTCTGAGAGACTTTGGAGCACAGAAAAACTATAGCACAAAGACACGATGGCTGTTACACTGAAACTGGATAAACAACTAACCTTAGAGAGCAGTCGTCGCTACCCGACCCCAGCACACACTTACAGCATATGGGAAGGGCTATATGTGACAGGGAAGCTGTGGAGTTCTTTGATGTCTGCTATTGTTCCAAAAGCCATTCTACTCCCAAAATAAACCGGCTCTTGGACCCTGTGATTCTTTCTACAGTACAGAAAATGTACAATGGGAGTTCCTTCTGTTTGTACGTTCAATGCAACTCTCCTCCGCCTCTGTACAGTAAGTAGCACACGCAGAGCTAATGAACATACAAGTCAATACTGGTCCCCAAGCATCAGGGAGAGGCTGTGGAAGAACCCTCATCCATGCAGTGCTTCCTTTGCTAGAGACAGCTGCGGCGAGGACACAGCTGCTTCACCACTTACTGGGAGTTCTGGACAAAACAAGTATGTACGTAAACTGCTTAATCTCATGCTTTAGTGGTTTCTCACTATAAATGAAGCTCACAACAGAGCTACCTCATAGGAGTGCTAAACGGTTAAAAGCATGAAGTATCAGGTTATCTGACATACAGTGAGCACTGACTTCTGAATGCTAATGTTCATTATGAAGTCTGCATCTCCTAGTCAGTCCCACGAGCACTACCAAGAGTGGACGCCCTGTAGAAGTGAAGATATCTGAGCTGAGCATGAGCTGAGCAGTGACCATTGTGCAGAGGGTACCTAACAACATTTAAAACACCAGCAGCGTTGACAGACACCATACAACCAGGGTTTCCGCTCTCCACAAACTTCTCATCTTCCCTGATTCAGAAGTCAAGTCATGAGGCAAGAAGTGGGGAGAAAGTATAATGTAAGAAACAGGAGACAGAGTAACGAGGTTAGAAAAGGAAGAGTCAGATCCGCAAGAAAATCTTGAGGTCTCTCTCAGTCAGTATTCCCCTTTCAGGGGGAAGAAAGGAAGTAATTTAACCTCAGACTGCTGATGCTCTAGCTTTTCAGGCCTGTCTTCCAGCAAAGCAGATGCTGGCACATTTTTGGCAGATGCTTTGTTCTATACAAGAAGGATGGACCAAACTCTAAAGATAAACAACAATAACAGTTGACTGTAATGACTTCACTGTCTAAATGTTCCCAACTACAGACCATTTCTCTACAGTCTTCCCCAGAAGACACGAGCTACTGAAAGCCCTGCAGAATCTTAGAATCAAATGGGTCTCTCTTGAGATACACGACACACACCAGTACATACATGCTCACTGTATACATTCCAATGTATGACTAAGCCATCATCATCTCACAGTCAGAAAGTTAATCTGGGTACATCATATAGGGAAGTAGCTGAATTCCAGCAGGAACAAGAAAAGCACATATGGACATTGCCGAAGTCAGAGGCTAAGCTAATGTACTTGCTTTACTCTGTGCTTCATTCTAGCAATGGCCCGGGTTTTACAACTATTCTGACAGAATGGTTTCTGTGCATCTAAACTAAATAAATTCAAGATAATAAACTGGCTAACCTCCATCCAAAATATACTCAAGTACCATATAAGGAACAACTTAAGGTAAAAGCTGTTCATTACAGTACACAGACCCTGAATGGTGGACTAAGCTAAGCATTCTTGCTAATCTGACAAGCAACACTTAAGCACTTATGGGTACTGAGTAAGAGTCATAATCCTTGTTCTTAGTGACCCACAGCCTAGCAGGAAAAATGTCTAAGTAACAAAGTACAATATACTATGGAGAGTGGGGACTATGAAAGTCACCCAAATAAAGGTCTCCCACAGGTTGCAGAGATCTGCTGTTTCCTGAAGCAGACAGAAAGGTTTCCCAGGGGATGATTGTGAATTGAGCTTGCTAATGCTGGCGACCAGGGTGATGATGACAACACAAAGGCAAAATAAGGGAGTAGCACACAATGAAGTCAGAGAGTGGAACAGTGTAGATTGTGGCTGGAATAAAGACTAAATACTACAAATAGAAATGAGTGTAGGATTCAAATGAAGTCACAAAGGCAGCAACACATTAATGATAAGCAGCAAATGTTACTATTCTCAGTGTCTGACTAGCATGAGGAGGTTACAGGAAGCCAGCAGTCTTCCCCAGTTAAGAAAACTATAGGTTACTGCTGCTATGTAGAAACTTAAGACTCAGGCCAACTGACTTTTCAAATAAGGACAGACATTCAAATTTCCCATCCTGATTTTAAACACTTATTCAATTAGTTAAGGACAGTTCTTGAAATATATAAGCCAAATAGATAATCAGGCTAAGGGCCAAGAACCTGCAATCTGATGCCAAATATGGAGTGGCTGCATCACTGGCAATCAGGCTTTAGAATAGAATAAAACAGATGGTTAAAGGTCTTAAATACCATCTAAGGAATTTCAATATTTCATTGGCTCTGAGAGAATCATGAAATCAGATATGAGCATATACATATATTTCAGAAGTGCTTCTCAAAATGTTTCTATATATTCATAAATAATAATAATAATAATAGTCCATCAAACCTAAGTAGAGAGTATGGGGAAGTTAAAAGGAGATAACATGGGAGGAAAAGGAAGTGATAAAATTATATTTAAATTTTTTGCTTTGTTTTTTGGAGACAGGGTTTCTCTGTTGCTTTGGAGCTTGTGCTGAAACTCGCTCTGTAGACCAAGATGGCCTCAAACTCAGAGAGATTTGCCACCCTCTGCCTCCTGAGTGCTGGGATCAAAGGTGTGTGCCACCACTTGCCCAGCATATTTTAAATTAAAAAAATAATTTTTTTGAGAGGAAACCAAATAAGATGTTGGAAGGTGCTCTTCGAAGTGATTGGCTAGTGGCATCTAGGACATAAATGACAGAAGAACCTGCAAGAGGAATAACTATCATTAGCCCAGCTGAGAAACAAAAGTCTAGACAGAAGAGAAATGAGGAAAAAAAAAAAAAAAAAAAAAAACGCAGAAGGGTATACATGCATGCATATATATATACATATATATATATGCATATATATATAGCTTTGGACAGAGCTCTACCCATCCAGGGCTCTTAATGCTGTTTTGCTGGCTAATTTTATGTCACTTTGACACAGGCTAGACTCATGTGAGAAGAGGGAATCTCAATTGGGAAAAATGCTTCCATAAAATTTGCCTGTAGGAAAATCCGAAAATCCGTAGTGAACTTTGCTAATAAAAGTAATTGACGTAGGAAGAACCCGCTCACTGTGGGCAGTGCCATCTCTGGGCAGGTGGCCCTTTGGTGTATAAGAAAGCAGGCTATTAATATGTGTGGATGTGCCTAGTCTTATTGCAATATGATATGCCAGGTTTGGTTGATATCCCTGGGAGGCCTGATCTTTTCTCAAGGGAAGCAGAGGAGGTAGGGAGAGTTGATCTTGGGGAGAGGGAACAAACGGGAGAGAAGGAGGGGAAACTGGTTGTGATGTAAGTGAGAGAATGAAAGAATAAAGAAAAAGCAAGCAAGCAGGCCGAGCCAGCCATAGATAGCAAACCAGTGAGCAGCACTCAGCACTCCTCTATGGCTCTGTCTGCCTCAGCTCCTGCCCGCAGGTTGCTGCCTTGACTTCCTTTGAAGATGAACTATAATGTTTAAGTGTAAGCAAAATAAACCCTTTCCTCCTGGAGTTGCTTTTGGTCATGATATTCATCACAGTAATAGAACTCTAAGGCACCTGGGCCATTCTTTCTTGCTTACTTTTTTTTTGTTTATTGTTTTTTGTTCTTTTTTTTTTTTTTCTTTTTTTCTTTTTTTGGTTAGGTCGATCAGAATTATAATTATCAGTTCTCTGCCAAACCAAATATGGCTATTACTACATCAGATTGTTAAAAAGTAATATGCCCTAGCTAAACAAGACATCTTTCAAATATCTAAGGGATGCAGATCATTAATGAGCATGAGAAACTCAGGTTGAAATGGCATTTATTTTTCTTTAACAAGATTCGGCTGCATTCTAAATGTTTTGATTCATAAATTTGGCACAATGTTTTCCCATTAGCATTTTCAGACATCAAAGCAGAATTGACTTATTTTACAGAGCTGAGGGTCTGTGGCACTGTACTGAACTATGCCCCCTTTCCTACCTAAGCCCTAGATGATCACAGCTCTTATCTTGAGGATGCAAGATAAAATCAAAAGCTGCCCATGTGCCCTGAGAGGTCATCAAGATGAGACTCATGTGAATAAGATGTCAGAGCCTGCAGTCTGATGCCCACAAGGTAAGAACCTGAAGTGCACAGAAAGATTTGATGGCCCCAGGAAGAAGGGGGCCTGGGTTCAGGTACACGGACAGGCAAAGGCTACTGCTATGAGATAACTGAGACTTGATCTTAAGAACCCTTACTGTTTCTTCTCTGAGACAGTGATTCTGTCTCACTAGTGTGCATTGGCTAAGTCACACCTCTGTACACCAGGGTAAAAACAATATGGCTTCATTAGGCAAGACGTAACTTGGTGGAGTCCTAAGGCCCTCTGGAGCCTATGCCATGGTGACAGAATAAAAAAAAGGAGTTCAAAAAGAGCCAAATCTCCTTACATTTGCTTGAAATGTGTGCCCTAAACACGAGTCATGCCATTAACGCCACATCAGGGTTAGGCAGTACTTGTGAATTGGAGGCACGTATCAGAGGACCAATCAAATAAAACAAGTCACAGGGAAAATAGAAACCACTTCTCACTAAAAACCCAGACTATGTCATTGTCCACACAGGAAAAGGCACTATTAAACCTGTTTGGGTAGTCTTTTAAGGACAATACTGAGAAAAATTCAGGGGAATCCAATGTAATACAGCTGGCAATATACCCTTCCCTTAAAGAGGCTTGCTGGCACTCATCTGGAAACTTCTTAGTTTCTTCACCTTTCTGCCCACAGTCCTGCAGAGCGGCTTCTGGTCAGAGCAGCCCCTTGGTAATGACTACCGAACTGATGGTGAAAATTGATTAGAAAATAAGGTCTTATTGAAAAGCAGCCTGCAGGCACACTGGCACTCATGCAGACGCTGCTGCACGAGGGAAGGGAAAGGGCTTCACAGAAACAGAGGAGGACATGAGCTCTGCCCAGGAGTGAGGCCTGAGGTGAGCCCGGAAGGCTAAGCAGGACTTGTGCAGCCAGAGCTTGACTTAGGAAATGCTGGAAAAGAGACCAGGTGGGATGGTTAGGGACTACCAGTATCCTGAAGAACTGCCACAGAACAACAGAAGAAGCAAAGGCCAAGGTTTTCTCTTTCTTTCTTAGTTTTCACATTCTCATTTTGGCGCTAGGATTCAGAAGGCCTGATCTCAACTGAGGTTCAGTGAAATAGCACGCTTGTAACCACAGATGGGGTCACGCTGCAGCTACCACAAGAGTACCTTGCCTATCTCCTTTGAAGTGCTACAGAAACAAGTTCCGAGGTCCACAAAATGCTAAGGGGTCAGAAATCAAGTAGTTAAAGGAACCAGAAAATCCTTTGGTGATGCTCAAACAACTTCTTTTAATAGGATGCTATCTTTAAATAAAATCTTACAAATGACCTCAGCATATTAACATATAAATCTGTTGTGACTGCAGCAGGTGGCTTGAATTCTGCCCGAGACACTTCCATTATAGTAACAGTGGTTACAAGCAGGAACACTGACATCAAGGCTACACTCCTCATTTGACAGAGGCTGAACACCTGCTCAGGCAGTGCAGAGGAGAGCAAAGACCAGAGTCCAGGAATGCCAACCCCCACCAAAGCAAGGGCTCATCCCAGAGGAGGAGGAGATGTGCTCATTCATACTCACCATCTTTGTTTAGCCATTGCTTTCTTGTTCTGTACAAAAGGAGCTTGTTGTGGACATATGGTAATAAGAACTTGACACACCAGCTCTCAACACCAAGTTTGTTCTCAACCAGGACTATAGGACTCCGGTTATATTTTGCTTCAGGGCATGGGATCAGGCCAATTTCATCTCTAAATATGCAAGACATAAAAAGAAATTGAAAATAATACTGACTTTTAATTTTTTTCTAATTCCTTAAGAGCCTCATGTATTTATTTTCCTTAAGAATATAACAAAGAGGGTTGTTGGGGTGCACACCTTTAATCCCAGCACTCAGGAGGCAGAGGAAGGAAGATCTCTGAGTGTTCGAGGCCAGCCTCGCCTACAGAATGAAATTCAGGACAGCCAGGGCTACACTGAGAAACCCAGTCATGATAAAACAAGCAAGCAAACAAAAATAACAATTTGAGCAACAGTAGAAAGGCTACCATAAATGTCCTTCCCTGATAATGAGATTGTTGACTAACTTATCCACCACCATAGAGCCCTCATCTAGTAGCTGATGGAAACAGAAGCAGACACCCACAGCTAAACACTGAGCCGAACTGGAATTCAGATGCAGAGAGGGAGGACAAGACCAGGCTACAGAAACCCACAGAGACAGCTGACCTGAATAAGGGGTAGCTAATGGGCCCCCCAGACTGATAGCTGGGAATACAGCATTGGACCGACTCAGACGTGAGTCTCAGTTAGAAGGCCTGGGCAGTCTAAGAGACCTCTGACAGTGGAACCAGGATGTATCCCTGGTGCACAAAAGGACTTTGGGAGCACATTCCCCATGGAGGGATACTCCCTTAACCTAGAGACAGGAGGGAGGGCCTAGTCCCTACTCCAAATGACCTGACAGATTTAGATGACCCCTGTGGAGTGTGTGTGGGGGAATGGGATGGGAGGATGGTCAGGGGGTATGGGAGGGTGGAAGAGAGGGAGGGAAAGGGAACTGGCATCAATATGTAAAATAAGAAAAAAAAATATTTAATTTTGGGCAGTCTTGGTGCCGCATGCCTTTATTCCCCATACTAGGGAGGCAGAGGCAGAGGCAGGTGGATCTCTGTGTAGTTCCAGGATGGCCTGGTCCACAAAAGGAGTTCCAGGACAGTTAAGGCTATATAGAGAAACCCTGTCTTAGATAGCTAGATAGAAAGAGAGAGAGATTAGAACTAAGTTCATTTACTGGAGTTGTAGCAACAGATCATTTTTTAAGTGTAGGTAGTTGATAACCCTTAATTACAGGGAAAACAGTACACTGCAACCCTCCTTGCTGGCAGGAGGGAAAATTCAGTTCATCTTTAGATGGCGATCTGAAAACGCCTTTCAGCATTTTAAAGCACATACTCCAATCCTGCAGTTACCCCACCCTAAACACAACACTCCAGCATGACAGGGAATGATCCACCTGTTTAACGGCATAATGCAGGTAAAGGAAACGTAGCTCGGTGTTGTGTTAAGTGTTAAGTAATGATGCAGGTCTGCACATACTGGCCTACCTGCCAAGAATACAGGGAGAAAGCAAACTGCACATAATGGAAAAGCCTTTTATATAATTCCTTTAAAATATATTTAGATACATAAAATTTTCCTTGGAAAGACATCAAGAATTTTTTGAGAAACAGAGATAATGAATTTTATTTGTATAGAATTATTCTATTTTTTAAGAATGTAAACAATGTGTTTTTATTTGCCTACTATAATAATAAATGTGGAACAGAAACAAATTATTAGTAAAGATTAGCTTGTATATGAAAGTTTTGGCTCAATTTCCCTCCATATATTGCTGTTTTTTTTTTTAAAAACATTTTTATGATAAAATATCAGAATGTAAAATATACTTCAGAAAGTGATCATTCAATCCACCTGAAGTTGAAAATCTGCACTAAAAACAGAGACTTAATAAACAATGTGTGAAGCATGTGACCTCACAAAGCAAACAAAACAAATAGCCCTAAAAGCAACACATACCTTTCATCTATAAAGGTAGATAAAACTCTTACCTACACAAGTTCTTAAATGGGATGTCTGCTACTTAATAAGTAAAGAGACCCCTATGAGAGGGGCTGGGGGGATGGCTCAGAGGTTAAGAGTGACTTCTGATTCACAGCAGACCAATTACCAGCAACCATGCCAGGATGTTCGCTCTGGCCTCTAAGTCCAGTTACCGGCCGGGAGGGGGTCTAACACCTTCTTCTGGCTCTAACAATAATAGAAAACTGGAAAGATGGCTTGAATTAGATGCATGAGGCTGTGTTAGGATCCCCAGCACCTATGTACAAAGCCAGCTGTGGCCATACTTGCCTGAAATTCCAATGCTGTTGGGGGCAAAGACAGGAGGGTTGTCAGGAATTCTGGCCAGTCATCCTAGCCAAAAATAAAGGGCTAGGTTCAGTGAGAGACATTTTTCCACAAGGATAAACTGAAAAATGATACAATTGAATAACCAATGCAATTATCTGGCCTCTATGCTCCCACATCCAAAAACACACGTGTGTGTATCCACATACACCCCACCATACACACACACACACACAAGCAGAAAATTTTAAAAGGCTATTTTTTAAATTTGCCTATTCATTTTTTTTTTTTTTTTTTAACAAAAAAGTCTCTGTGTGGTGGTGTCCCAGGAAGTAGAAGGTACGAGAAATCCAAAAGCTGGAGTATAGGTGGTTGTGAGCCACTGGATATGACATGGATGTTGGTAAGTGAACTGTCTTCTGCAAGAGCAGCAAGTGTTTGTGACCACTGAGCCATCTTTCTAGTCCCACATCTCTTACACACACACACACACACACACACACACAAGAATAGAGTTGCAGATGCAGCTCAGTAGGTAGAGCGCTTGCCTAGCATTCTCAAAGTCCCGGGTCTGAACCCAAGCACCACCGAAATCTGCCCTGATGGCACGTGTCTGCAATCTCTGTACTTGAGAGGAAGAGGCAGGTGGATGGATCTATGAATTTGAGGCCATCCTGGTCTATGAGTTCCAGGACAGCCAGGGTACACAGAGAAACCCTGTCTGGGGAAAAGGGATAGAGGGGGGAAGAGAGGGAGAGAGGCAAGAGCAGCATAACTGGAAGTTCAATGTCATCCTGGGTTATATAGCAAATAGATGCTGTCTCCCTTCCCCAGCCAAAATAAATTTAAAAAAAAAAAAAAAAAAAAAAAAAAAAAGTTGATCTTCAGAATTTATATGTGACACAGAATCCTTTTGTCAAGACTGGTCTAAAAAAAAGGGAAAACATGAAATTATGAGAAAGCCTTCTTCTGTTAAATCACTACCACAAGTCAGAAGCACACATTTGAAATAGACACGGCTAGAAAAACAGAAAAACTTCCACACTGAATAGCTTAGAGACAATCCATTCTCTACTGATCACTTTGTTAGTGACACAGGGATCTGTCAATAAGCAAGGGTACTAACATTTCTTCCAAAGTACTTATCACTCCAGACTTTGGGGCCTACAATATAACACATTCAGTAGATTCATAGGTCTCTTTTTTATATAGATGCTAGTATTATCACCATTCAAAAACAATTTACAGAATATACTGCATATTTTTAGTTTCTAGTAATGCAAAAATGAATAAACAAAGTGCCACAGATGTCTAAGAGTTTCTCTGTGAGACATCCATATTTACAATAAAAGGTTACCACTTGGCTCTTCCTGTAACACAAATGAAGTTTTGTAGGGGACCTGAGAGAGCATCTCAAGTCAATATTCAGTGTTCAAAGCATGCCTTTGCATTTGTACTTGGTCCTAAAAACCAAGCACAACTAGCCATGCCAGTCACTGGACTAGGTGTGGGCCTCTGATGTTTCCTGGTGCTCATACTTTTGCTATATGAAATTGGACGTTTTAGGAAATAACCTAAAAGCAGAAAATAACGTGTTCAATCCCAGCATTTAAGAGGCAAAGGCAGGAGAATCTCTGTGAGTTCAAGGCCAGCCTGGTCTACATAGTGCATTCCAGGCCAGCAAGAGCTACATAGTCAGATACTGTCTCAAAGAGACATGGACACAGACATAGACACATACACACACCAACAACAACAACCCCCCCAAACCAAAACCCAAACCAAAAAACTCCTAAAATTAGAAAAACCAAATGAAAAACCAACCCCTCAATTTAATTACTCAAGAGTTTGTGTTCTCTGAGATCTAATAACTACTTGTAACACTTCAAGGAACCTCAAGAGCTAAAAATATAAATGTTATATTAGCAAGAATAAAAGAACCCCAGCTTCCAGATATACTATTTGAAAGGTGTTTTTTTTTAAACTTAAATTCACAATGTTAAAAAGAAGTTTGCTCACTATAATTGTACTAGATATAAAATATTCAAGTACTAACTTGGTACCTAAATTAGAGGACAAAGCCATCTGCAGAATTAAAAAAAAAAACATACTACTGTGGTTGGCTACCCTTCCAAGAAACAAAGGGTCTTAGGGACAGCAGTGCTTAGTAACTACATTTGAATGGATGGTCATTCTTGCTCCTCAGTGACATTTATATTTACACTGCTTTGAAAGGTTATTCCAGGAGAGTATTACCTCTGCTCTTTGTAATACACTGTGCTGAGAACAGCATGGGTCATTTAACATACAACTTCAGCCTCTACAGACCTCACTCTCCCCATCTGTAAAAGGGTAGGACTCTACTTCATCTTCAGTAAAGAAAATGGGCTAGAGTATGCTCAGCTTTCAAATTTTATACAGTAACTTGACACCTATTCCTATGTAAAGAGAAAGAAAGGGTCATAAGGATGTAAACCATTGAAGAGAAAAAAAAACCAAAATAAACCAAAACAAAACAAAAACAAAAGAAAAGATGCAATATTGTAGAGACAAAAGCTCTTGATACCTGCCCCTGACTAATTAGTCTCCCTTCTATCACTGGCCAGTGTGGTGTGTGAATCATTTACCTCTGGACTGTTCATCTGAAATATGGAAATATAATATCTTCACTGCTTGTTATGAAAACCAAAGGTGAAGAAAGTGCTGGGCAATGATAAAGGTTATCAGTTCATTTAACAGCCTGAGGTCAGTCAATATCAAGTTTCTTGGTTAGTGGGCACAGAAAGCTGAAGTGGAAAAAATGTTAATCCTTTTGTCAAGCTATTTGACCTAAGATAGTGGTTTGTTCCTTCTAAAAAAAAAAAAAACACAGCATTTTCTTTAGAAAGATATGTGGTCCATAAGCTTCATAACAACAGAAGGTTTCAACTTAGCTTTCTGTACCTATTCTTTTACATTACTGTAATTTTTCAGGCAGTTTGGAATTCTAAATCATTGTGAAATGAATAGGAAGATCATTCTTGTGTCTCCTTTTATCAGATGAGGTCCACTGAGCTTAAGGGAGTTTCCTGAAGTCAATATTACTAGCAGCTGGGTCTCCAGTTTAAATTACAATTTCACACTCAAAAGTAGAAAACTCAGGAAAAATAAAAATTAAAGCCTGTCTCTACAACCACTAATGTTCAGGTATATGTCTTTTGCCCTCCTCAACTATTTTTACAGAAAGTGGATCACATCGTACTTTTTTTGTTTTTGAGACAGGGTTTCTTTGTATTACTTTGGAGGCTGTCCTGGAACTCCATTTTGTAGACTAAGCTGGCTTCAAACTCACAGAGATCCTCCTGCCTCTGCCTCCCAAGTGCTGGGATTAAAGGCATGCACCACCGCTGCCCAGCCTATATAAACTTTTGACAAAACTTAGAAATTAACATTTACGATTCCCTACATAGTATTATAAATGCTTACAATGACTATGATCATCAGATCATTTCCAATGAGCAGCCCTTTCACTACCACAAAACCCTTTCTCCCCATATTTTTAAGTTTCTAGAAATTTAGAGTCTTGTATTTGCCCAGGAAAATATTCTTTGCATGACCAAGGTAAGGAGTTTTCAAAGAAGCCCACGTAAAGGGCAGCAACAGTTTTAATCTTCTCAAATAGATTCAACAAGGCTTAATGATTAGTTGCTTTGGTGGACTACTCCACACACAACATGGAGAGGAGCAGCACCGTCACTTCAGGTCACACACAGCAATAGAGCATGTGTTTGGATGTCTCACTTTACCGTAGAGGTCCAATGGAGTTCAAGGTTCATATTACACAAATGTCGGCTTTGTTCCAATATGCAGCAGCTTCTCTGGTCTATATATTGTAGAAATAATAACTGTCATTTACGACTTACTTTCTGCTCCAAAACCTGTGTCAACCAAGTTCCCTTCTAGGCAGGATGCATTGTCCCCAGTACTAAACATGAACTCTGTAAAGTGTCACAACAGAACAGAAAATGGCCCAGATTCAGGAAAATTTATGAATATTTTTATTGAATAGCTATTTTTGTTTTATATGCTGGAATTCTTTCTAGAATGAGCAAAAATGAAATGATAAAATATCTACAGGAACTGACACTTGCATATTAATAATTAAAACTTGACTGGTACTGAAGATATTTCAGAGACCTAGTAGGTTTCCTCATTGATTTTAAGGATTACTTTTTATACCACTGAACTACATTACTGACATTATTTAGAAAACAGGAATTACTGTTTATTGCATGCTACATTCTATGTTTACTCTATGCAAAAAATTACAGTAAAAATCTAAGTATATCAGGCTTGCAAATAAAATGACAAGGTTCAAATCCAGGACTCGAATACTAAATAAAAATTTAAAAACTATACTATCATTTTAATTGAGTTAAAGCATATGTGTACAACCATTATAAATTCTGTGGTTTCATATTCTTCAACCTGCAGACAACTTGAAACTGTGTTTCAGTATTACTCCCTTATTAATAATTTTCCATGGGCCCTTCCTATTGATTACAAGTGTATCATCACTTGTGTCTTTAGTCAAATGCTAGTTCCTCTGAAAGATCTGTCTTCATCTTATAATTCCAATAAAGTCTCCTGGATATCACTGTTGATAACAGCTTTCTTACCCTTTCTGCCTCTTCTTGTGTGTGTTGATTGGTTTGAAGTTTCATTAAGGATAGGGATCTTTTCTCAACTGTGCACTAATCCATATATGCTCAGTTCCCAGTAAAGTTATCCCCAGACTAACATTTTGCCTGTCAAATGGGAGTAGTGTTTGCTATACACGTGAATGCAACAATTAGGCCATATAGTCAAGGACTTTATAATCCATTCCTGTAGAATCTTTTCAATCACATTTTGCTGCTTTTGATCAATGTACTACTCCCAATTTCTTCTGACATTGTCCTACCCAGATTTTGATGTTGATGCTAAAAGCTGCCTCCCCTAGGATACTCAGCTTCCCATTTCTTCCAATAGATAGCACTTACAATACTGCTAACACATTGTCACTAAGAACTATATTGTGAGATTAATTTACTGTTAAGACTTGGGTCGCCACTAAACCCATACTACACAACATAGTACTCCATATATGATAATTATGCATAATATCAAAAGTTCAGTTCTCACTAGCATTAAGTACATTAGCTACACATGGCTAATATAGCAGATGTATAATTAGATCATATCAGAAATTTGGCTTTGGTACAAGTTATATTTTAAACTTCTTCTTGTCCCATATAGTGAATATGGCACCTACTGCTCCTCAAATCAATTTAGATAGTCAATAAAAAAAAAGTTGCTGGATATGATGACCTAATTAGGCTGTACTGTAGACAGCTGCCTTCCACATTAAGGCACAGTATACTTCACGGTAATAAATATTCCTGGGTTAAACTACTAGTTGCAGGGAACCCAATAAGATTCCCAGTTTCCTACCAAACAATATCTGTATTGTGTTTTCTACTTTGCAAAGTGTTCTGGCAAGGATTGAAGGCACTGAGGTTAACGCTAGTGCTTTGCATTCTCATTAGCCCTACAAAATCAAGAAAACATTGAGCCTGGGGGAAACAATCCATACCTGATAGAAACACCATTCATAGCTCTTATCAAACTTTGACTTTTCAGGAAGATCTTTTTCTTTTCTTTCTTTTTTTTTTTGCTTTGGAGGCTGTCCTGGAACTAGCTCTATAGGCTAGGCTGGCCTCAAACTCACAAAGGTCCACCTGCCTCTGCCTCCTGAGTGCTGGGATTAAAGGCGTGCATCACCAACGCCTGGCTAGGAAGATAGTTGAATATATTCAAGGGAGTAGATGTTAACAAATAAATTGGCAACAGATCTCACGTTGGAGAAAAGGGGAAAACAAAAATCAAATAATGAATAATGAAAAACTTTTACAATGTTGTTATTAAATACTAACTTAAAGGTAGACATCTGTTTTTAAAAAACTAGAATACAGATTTTTTGGGGTCTAAAAAGGCTAGGTTGAGCACAGACATGTCAGCACTTCTGAAAGCTCCAATGTACAACTCATTTTAAGAGGCAATACATGGAAGATAACTCTAGTGTAGGGAGCATGTATTAGAATACAGCTGCTGACAAATGTTAAATGAATTGAGCTATTTAAATGTTTAGAGTTTACATAACTCATTATTTCAAGAGCCCAACTTACCTCAAACTTTCATATCTCAAATGACCCAAATATTTAACAATCATAAGTTTTGATAGAGTATATATTAATGAGACTGCAGAGTAAAATATATGATGCAGAGAGGGGTAAATGTGATCCAGATTGCACTGAGTCAACCTACATAACCCTAATCTTAGTTTTACCAAATATATTTTTAGTCTACCTCAAAGATGAAAAACTAAAGTGATTACTGTATTAGACCTCTAACCTTTCCTACAATTTCATTCAGAAGAAAAAACCCACCAATGATGAAAATGAACCCTTCATTTGACCAACCCTTTTTTTTTTTTTTTTTTTTTTTTTGGATGTGTCTCTTTACACTGTGTCCGGAATTCTCAAAAAGGGCCGCAAAGACTGACACACAAGACATCAAAGCATTCTTTAAAAGGTCCAGCAGCCACTATGGCTACTGCCAGGAAATCACTCCAAACATTCATTCTGAAAAAAGCCAACAGTCAAAGGAGGAAAGGAAGACTTAGGAGCTATCAGAGCTGGCAGGTATGTTTTGAGGCCAGTAGTATTTTGTCTTTAATGAAGTACAGTTTGAAGCTCCTAATTACCATAAGGAAGCAGGCCATCCGAGGACTTCTAAATTCTTTTATGAACATCACCTTGGAGAAATTGAACACTTTGTTAAAATGTGGGTTTGGCCTTTCATTTAGTCGGAAAAGCTAAGGATGCTGGAATGTTTAAAAATAATTCATATGTTCTAGTTGAAGATATTAAAAATAAATTGTAGAATCAAAGGGAAGATAATACAAAACTAGACTCCATGTTTCTTTTCCCCAGGGAATGGGAAATAGGCTACACTCTTGCTTTTCTGATTCTTTTGTATACTGATGTAACTCTTTTGTAGCTTTCTTCTGATTCCTTAATGGTAGAGAGTGCCAGAAAGAATAAAATCTTGAGAGTACCTTCCTAGAGACTAACAAGTAAACGGAAAGGGAGAAGGAGATATATGTGTCAATTCTTCAGTGAACTTATAGAGGTAAGAATGCCTTAAGATGCATGTCGGTAACTTAGGACGTGCTTCTGATAAAAAGTATCCAGTTTGCAAGAGCTTTATGAGAGATCCACCCAGGTCACCTTCAAATATTGTTACATCCGACTAGCTCTGCAATTTTGTGACAAGTGAGTGGAAAAGTCAAAAGCAGCCTCCGGTCACCTTTAGCAACCTGAAAGGGGGTGCGGGGATTCTGATGGGGTGGGTAACCCTTTACAGTCTCTATAACCCTCTACAGAGCCGCCTGCGAGGCACAAGGACCCACAGCGGTGGCCCGCGGAGCAAGCGCACCAGGCGGAGGGCGGCCGGGAGAAGAGTTGTCACAAGTCCCAGGACGCGCCCGGCAGGGCAGGAAACTCCACGCTCCAACGTGGCTCTCGGGGGTCGCTTCCCAACACTAACTAGCCCGCCACCCGCCCCGGTAACGGCCGGCTGGCCCGGCGCGACAATCCCTGCCGCGCTCCGCCTGTCGGAAGCGCGCGTGGGCCCCGAGCGCCAGCCGCGAGTGGACCAGAGCGCGGCACCGGCCCGGCCCCCGAAGACCCCGGCGCGCAGGGCGCGCGACTCACATGTGCGGGTTCCTGCGGAAGGCGTTGGTGATGTCCTTCACCACCCTCTGCACCAGCACCGCCACCTCCTCGCTCGTCTCGGCCATGTTGGCGGCCGCCGCGATCCGGCGCGCCTCCGGGAGAACCCAGCCGCCGGCGGGAGTTCCGCGGGGGCGCGCGCGCGCTGGCTCAGGCGCGCCCTCGCCGATGCCGCGGAGCACTTCCGGGTCAGGGAGGGTTGCATCGCTGCCTAGTTGGCTCTGTCTCTGTGCTCCTTGGCTTTGATTGATTTTGGTTCGCTTGGCATGGACGAAGGAGGGTCCCTGCCGCACCTCCCCGAGCAGGTGTGGGCCAGGATGGCCTTCTCCCAGCGACCTCCGGACGGCGGGACCATGCCAGCTCACCCCAGGAGGAGGCCTGTAGCTGACCTCCCTTTGCACCCCTGTGCCACTGTGTTTGTGAAATTTAAAGTAGCCCTTTCAGTTAGAACTTTTGTAACTCATTCAGCAAAGAAAAAGAACGTAAAGGGAAAAAAGTACCCTCCAGATCTAGGGGGAAAGTTTAAAACAAACAAACAAAAAACACTACTGTTACTGGTTTACACAATGTGTTAATTTGGAGTATTCAAACAAACAAACAAACAAAAAACAGCTGGGCATTGGTGGTACACTCCTTTAATCCCAGCAGTCAGGAGGAAGAGGCAGGATTTCTGTGAGTTCAAGGCCAACCTGGTCTATAGAGCTAGTTTCAGTACAGGACAGGCTCCAAAGCAATACAAAGAAATCCTGTCTTGAAAAACAAAACAAAAAACAAACCCCCAAAACAAGGCCCTGGCAATTTTTTCCTGATGTTTATTGCCCCACAAATAAATTGTATAGGATCGCTCTGTTCCATGTGGATTTTAAAATGCTGCAATTGAATTTTTATATATCAGGGTGTTTTTGTGTTGGTTTCTTCTGAGTACAAAAATCTGACCTCCTCTCACTGATGGTGGTAGTTTTTCCTCATCCTTTTCTTCCTCCTTCTGCTCCAAGCATGTTCTTATCACACTTGAAGTCTGCATCTTTTAAAAAAATATTTGCTTGGCAAGGTGGTACACAGTTCGATCTCAGGACTTGGGAGGTTGATACAGTAGGATGTTGAGTTCAAGGTCATTAAGACATCTGAAACTTGGATCTCTACAAGCCAAAAAGTTTTACAAAGCAAACTATGGTTGGTTGTTGTCCTGGTCAAGAAACAAGAGAAACTCTACAAAATTGTAGAAAGCAAGAACTGTTTACAGCACAGTAAAATCAAGCTAACTTTTCTCTCCAAGTTCTAGGATGAAGCAGTGAAATGATCGGAGTGTTACTATCTCTGGGCCAAGATTAATTTCAAGAGTCCTGTTGAAGAGTATGATACTAGGTGCTGGAGAGATGGCTCAACCACCTGTAACTCCAGCTCCAGAGGCTCAACAATCCTCTTCTGGCCTCTATGGGAACACACACACACACACACACACACACACACACACACACACACACACCCCTTAATTTTTATAATAATATGATGCAATCCTCCAATGACTTCAGATAACTGCCAAATCTGGCTGCCTCTTCTCATCGGAACTCTCCATCCTTCCATTAGTGGCACTAGGGAGCAGCCCTGATTTATGAGAGCAGAGCTGAAGGAGCACATTGAGAAACAAGAGATATATATATTTGCATTTAATGAGAGAAATCCAAGTTTGGTTGCCCAAATCTTGAAATAAATCTGATATTCCAGAAAGATAACATGTCTGCATGGTTCTGTAACTGTTCTCCCTCCATCTGTACTCATATGAAAGATGTGAATTACATGCCTCATGGTTCTAAATGTAAAAATGATCTCACCTAGTTATTACAGATCTAATATGTACAGACTCAAATGCTTAGAATTGGAATGTATTAGAACAAGAATCCAACTCAATTTTATCAATAAGGACTGAAATCCTAAGAAGTTTAGAATTGAAATTCATGAGTCCTTATTAATGATATATGAATAGTGTATGATTAAATTTAAGAAGAGTTTGTTTAAAGATTTATATAGAAGGTCCAACAAATATGTAGTAATGAAATAAATAGCAAATAGTTCACGTATCCAATGACGGAAGATAGATTGGATTACAACTAGGGGCCAGGGAGATGGCCCAGCAGTAAAAATGCTAGTGATACAAGCTTGAAATTCTGTCCTTACATCTGGCAGTAAAGGGGAAGAAAAAAAAAAATCAAATCTAGTAAGTTGTCCTCTGACCTGTGTGAACCTGAACTCATGCATGTATCACAGTCACATACATATATACTCATATAAAATTCCTAAATTATGGCTAAGTTTTATAAGAAAATATTACCCCATCACCAAAAAAATGACATCATAACTAAAGAACTATGCAGTTGGCCCTCTATCAACAAGCTCAACACATAGTTGACTGATTCCAAAACAAGTAAAATTATTTGGGAAAAAAACAGTACATCTGCAATAAGCTTGTACAGACTTGTTTTTACTTAAAACAAACTAGAAGAATATAAACTAAAAGGGCTAATAATGGTTATCTCTGTTTGATACAGTTAATGGAGATAATTGAGGCCTACAAATGAATGTTTTAGAGGGTTACAGCACTGTAACTATTTCAATTCCACATTGGAATGGTATTCTGTCTATAATTCCACATGGGAATGGTATTCTATCTGTAATTCCAGCTCTGGATGGCGAAGACAAAGTGTCCTTGAAGCAGGCTGGTTAACTACTATCTGCATTGGTGAGCTCTGGGCTTGAGTAAGAGACCCTTCCTCAAAGAATACAGTGGAAGAACAATTGAGGAATATTCCCAGTATCAATCAAGGACCTACACATGTATGTGCAAACAAACACACATGAACGTACAGCACATCACACACATGAAAAGAAGAAAAAAATACAACATACTTAATACATACATACAGGAAACTCCAAAGTCTATAAAACACAAGTCCCAAGGTAGATGTCAAGCTCTAAAAGGAACAAGGATAGATACTAGACTACTTTTAATGACATTTGGAAAAGGTGAAGAAAACTCAGAGACCGATATTGGTATTCAAGTTGAAAGATCAGAGAAGCAAAGAAGTCAAGCCCTAGAGATTTCTCACCTCTACCAATGCTCAGACTGAAGGAGCGATTGTGCCCTCTGATTAAGTCTACAAACTGCACTGCCTTCCACCAACCCTCAGAAACCTACACTGTAATCTTCTGAGTTCCTGTGTCTCTTCCTGCCTTAAATTCTTCTCTCTGCCCAGCCATATCACTCCTGTCTCCACCTTCCTAGTGCTGGAATTAAAGGTGTGTGATCCCAAGTGCTGAGATTACTTTTGTGTGAGCAGTTTCCTTTTTATACTGGATGAACTTCATGTAGCTCAGTGTGGCCTTGAACTAACAAAGATCAGTGTACCTCTGTCTCCCAAGTACTAGGATTAAAGGTGTGTGCCACCACTGCCTGGCTCTATGGCTTGTGGCTAGCTTTGCATTCTGAACCCCTTTATTAAATCATAAATAATAGATCATCATGTCATATAGTACTAAATGTGCACTTATAATATTTCTAGATAATTTTTACTAACATAGGAAACTGATTTCATCACCTCGGCAAGTTAAGTGTTGACCCAGGAGTGGTGCTGCACTCTTAGAATCCCCTCACTGTAAAGAGAACTGGAGGATTGTGAGTTCAAGTCCAGAATGAACTATGTAGTAGCTTCCAATTCACCTTGTTTAAAAATAAACAAATGTTGACTTTGGGATATTGCTTATTGATACAGTACCTGCCTAACAGGTGTGAGGCCATAGTTTACTCCTTAACATTGATCCCATGCCTAAAAGTAAATGTCCAAGTTTAAATACTTGATTATTGTATACAACATTGCCATTGTGAATAGAAGTCAAACCTCCGAGCATGGGTCTCAGATAGAAGGTCTGGGCAGTCTAAGAGACCTCTGACAATGGAACCAGGATGTATCCCTGGTGCACAAAAGGACTTTGGGAGCTCATTCCCCATGGAGGGATTCTCCCTTAACCTAGAGGCAGGCGGGAGGGCCTACTTGAAATGACTTGACAGATTTTGTTGATCCCTCCTGGAAAGCATCACCCTCCCTGTGGAGTGTGTGTGTGTGGGGGAATGGAATGGGAGGGGGTTCGAGGGGTATGGGAGGGAGGAAAGAATGAGGGAGGGAAAGGGAACTGAGATCAATATGTAAACTAAGAAAAATAAATAAATATTCAAAATAATAAATAAATATAAGAAGTCAAACCTCAGCCCTCTTCATTATTCCACAATCCAAAGTTTAAGAATTTACCAGCACAGAAACAGAAGAACAAAATATCATCAAACAAGGTATAAATTCAATTACCTGTTTTATTAATGTGCAAGAAAGGGCAACGGGAGCAATACCTGTCTTCACAGGCTTTACTAGACTTAGAGAAAAGGAAGAGAAGTAACTACATTTTTAGAAATATATACATTAAATGTAGAGATGCTTGGTATATATTCTTGGCTTGAGTGTGTTGGTTCATTTCTTCAAATACAAGATTTAATGTATAAGGACTACTTTTTAAAAGCCACAAAAATGCTGGAGAATGCTAATACCATCTATTGTTACCTTTACTTGGCACATCTTTAGACCAATTGTTAGAATAAAAATAAGATAGACATGTTAACCTATTTAAGCTGAGGAGGCACTGTACAAATGGTTGCTTATGTCTGTAAATAGGGAAAGCAGTATTATTCACTAATCAATATTAAATAGACTAATAGCAAATGAAGACTAAGTAAAACACTATTAATATGAAATTGGCTTCACCCCTGAAAATGGTGTTGCACTACAGTGTAAGCAATCTCATAGGGTATGAACTGCTTTTAACCTGAAAAAAGTAGGTAAATGCTACCAAGGGGCTAATAATGATGACTTTAAAAAGACCAATTTATGCTGATGTTAGAATTCATGAAGATATAACAGTGAGAACACTAGGCACGTGAATGATTTTGTTGCCAAGAGATGACTTCTTTTCCCTTGACATTTGATAGTTTCAAATTACCCTTTTCCTTTGCTTTGTTCCTTTTACCACAGAGGCTCGGGGTACCCCTGATGTAATCATTAGGAAAGAATAGGGAAAATGTCTAGAGAGAAAAGCCAATCCAGGACTTG